GCTGACTTGCAATTTAGGCTATGAATCACCAAGGACCATGGTTTCAGCTAAAAATCTTCTTTACTGTTCTACTGGGAAAAAAAGTCACGTACATCTTGGATGGCCTGAGGGTGAGTAAATTAACAGCAAATTTTCATATTTGGGTGAACTATCCCTTTAAACCGGTATCACACACGCTATTGTGCTGTTATTCTGAAAATCGTGCTGCTATTCAGAAATACAGCTTGCGATATCGGTCAAACAAATAGTAGCCTATCGCTATATAAGAGAGAGAGACCCAGACAGACAGACAAAGGCAGGTTATAAATCGGACACAATGAGCTCAAGTCGGATGTGTTGAAACATGGAAAACACCTTGGAGTTTATGACCTGAAGAGTAAATTACTCCAGTGTAGCCTACTTTCCTCTTAATGTATACATGACGAGTAACAGTTTAGTAGCCTACAGTGTGTTGAAGCCTCCTGTGTCTCACGTTAAATAACCTTGCGCAATCTGAAACGACACAGAAGGCGATTAGAAACCCAGCTGCTCTAGTGATGAACAGGTTATGTGCTTTAGGCCCTAAAGTTTAGGGCAAAGTCAACGAAAACAATATCCTGCACCACATAAAAGAAGCTGAAGGGGCAAGATTTTCCCACACATATTCTTTCTGCAGGAAGCGATAATACGTTCACCTACCGCTTGAAAACAGCTGCTGATAAACATCGCCACTGGCACACAAACAGCGCATCACAACAGCACAGCAAAACCACGCTCAATCAACCCATAGCCTATCGCATTATTAAGAATCAATTCAGCATTAATATTAATAGGCTATTAATGCGTAGAAAACCTCAAGTTGCCATGAGTGAGAAATGAAAGAATATGCACTGACTGAAATTAGAGGAAAGTACTCTATCAACTTCTTATGGAAATACATTCAATATTTTCATTTTAAATGTCCTATATATCAAAGGTATACATGTGACGAACAGACATAGACTCAGGTCATGGTGTGAATACCTGATATTCCTCATCCCTATCGCCAAAACAAACAGCTGTTATATCAATATAGCGTAAACTCGAGTCCACGAGCACTCACCTTCCGCCGTTAATTCTCCTCGGGTGATCTGAAAAACACTTCCCAAAGCGTGTAAAACTAGAACAATTCCCACAAACACATCGAGCGTGCTTGAACCAGCCATATCAGATATCCACCGAGACGGATGTCCTCAGTTTCTTTTGCTCAGTCGTCGCCAAAGAAAATGTAAAATAACGGCAAACAGCGTCTGGTCAGTCGCTGAGCTTTCCGCGCTCCTTCCCGGACTCTTGAGTGTCGCGCGCTCGCGCCCACTGCTGAAGCTACTGCCTCACCGCTCCTATGACGCGAGGGCTCGCGCTCCCGTTTCTTGAGACTCCAGACCCAAACAAATCCTAGCAGAGTTCGAGAGAATCTAGAAAACAGTCCCATCTAACTCGCCTCTTATCCATGCATTCACCACAAAACCAGGAGGTGTAGATGGAGTCACACATGTAGGCTACCACCAATAGTGTCCTGACTCTGAGACATGAGGTGGATTTGGTATTAGTGCCGCTTAGTTCACTGTTTCTTAAGACAACTTTATCTGCTATTCGTTTTTAAAATAGAAACAGTTCCACTCTTTTAAAGGGGTCATGCGATTTAAAATGTTCGTTTCTCTTTGGAGTGTTACAAGCTCTTGGTGCATAAAGAAGATCTGTAAAGTTGCACAGACT